AGATGTATTTTTTAAGTATTTATATCTATTTTTAAGTATTTTACATATTTTCATGTATTTTTATGTGTTTTTTATGTATTACGTATTTACGTATTTTTTAAGTTTTTTATATAAATGTTTATGTATATTTATGTATTTTAAATATATAAACGTATTGTTTTACATATTTATACATATTTTTTTAAGTATTTACATATTTTTTTTGTGTTTTTTATGTATTATGTATTTATATTTATTTTTGCGTATTTATGTATTTATTAAGTTTTTTATATAGATGTTTATGTATTTTTATATATCATCGCTTAGCATTCTAAGTTTAAGTCTATAAATCCTACAAATACCTAGTTCGCTTAAACTAATGCTTTGATACCAACAGTTACATCCCCAATTTCACGGCGAGAAAAGACCGATTTGTTTATGCTTTGTTTTATAAAATCAGAGTAATCCTTTGATTTAAAAGAGTTGCGGAATTTGTTCCCAAAACAAAATATGATAAAATTTATCAAAACTTTTCTCAAGAGAATGTATTTTCATTAAAAAAAAAAACATCGGGATGTCATGTTCCGATACAGACCAAAAGCATAAACAGTACAATACAGACCTTACAACTGTTATTTGTAACTACTGATCTATAATCCAAAATCTCTCATCAAGTCCACCAATTTATACTCTTGTGCCATTACCTGTAATGTAAAGAAAACTGAGTGGATCAGGCTTGGGAGCCTGGTGAGCATATAGGGTTTTCAACCCACAATAATACATTTATTATATTCAATTATCAAACAATCAACCCAAATACCCATCCTCATATCTCTTTTATTTTCTCAAGGGTTTACCCTAATAATTCTCTATCCTTCATTCATTCATTCCTATGGATTTACCTAAGGAATTGGCACAAAGTCCATTTGCTACCAAGGTTTATATAACAGGCACTACGTCACATAGCCACCAGGGTTCATACAATTGGCACTACGTCTCATAGTTACCAAGATTTACACAATAGGCACTACGTCTCATAGTCACCAGGGTTTACAAAACAGGCACGAAGTCACATCGTCACCAAGGTTGATCAAGTAGGCACGAAGTCGCATCGTCACCAAGGCTTACTCAATAGGCACTAAGTCACATAGTCGCCAGGGTTTACTCATTAGGTACAAAGTCGCATCGTCACCAAGGCTTTACTCAATAGGTACGAAGTCACATCGTCACCAACTATTCGATCTACCCATGTTCTACCTAACATTTTTGTAGATATAAATACAAACACAGTTTAAATCATTTAAAACCCGTATAAAAACATCAATTCCAAGATCATATCAAATAGACAAATAATATATAACACGTAGCACGTATTTCATAGCTAACAATTTTTATTTATGTGTTAGAAGAAATTAACTATACACTCACTTGATTAGACGATGCTCGAACAACATTACGACTTGTAGAAGTAGTATTCTTCGGTAGATCTGGAAGATCTTCACAAAAACCGGGCTTCTCGCGGACAGAGCTTCGGCTCGGGAATTTCACTTCTCGGGATCTTCTGGGCTTTCGGACTTGCTTCGGGTCTCGGGAATGATACCGGGGCTTTGGGATATTTCTTGCACGAAAAACGAAGTAAAACGGGAGAGAGATGAGAGGAATTGAGCAAGAAACTCAGCTGCCCTCGCACCCTTTATATAGGGGCTGATTCTTCGAATTACACTGGGCGTAACCCGGATAAGCCCGGTGACTCCCCCCCCCCCCCCCCCCCCTTTGGATAATATCCGAATTTATATTTAAATTAAATACTAAAATTATTTAATAAACTTCAAAAATTCATATCTTCCTCATACGAGCACCGTTTTTGACGTTCTTTATATCCCCTTGTAGGTGAGACTACTATCTACAACTTTCGTTTAGACTCCGTCGGCTAACTTTGAATTTATTTTTATTATATATTTTTAGTAGGCCGGGATAAGAAAACTCCGTTATAAATTCATAACTTCTTCATCCGACGTCCGTTTTCGTCTGTCTTTTTACTATTGCACTACTATCAACAAGATCTTCGATTCTTGTTTAGATTATTTCGGCTAAAAACCGCTCGATCTCAAATCGAGTATTCGGGCTGCATACCGCTAAGTCGAAACCTAGAGAAACCATAACTTCCTCATACGAAGTCAGATTTTGACGTTCTTTTTATGCACACTCATGGTTTAATGAACTCTACGACTTTCGTTTAGATCACTAAGGCTAAATACCGCTCTAACGTAATTTCATATTTTACGTCATTCAGCGTCGGGCCGGTTCTGTCGCGAAACTTCGACAGATCCTAAGTTCTTCGTTATAATTCGGATTTCGGCGTTCTTTATATGTACAGAATCTTTGTAACATATATTACAACATAGTTAAGATTATTCCTTCAAAATAATCTTCCATCAAAAAGTCATTTTTTGACGCTTATTGTCCTTAAATTGACTAGCCCTAATCTACGAGCGTTACAATATCTCCCCCTTAGGATGATTACGTCCCAGAGTCATCAACGAAATAGGATTCATATATTGACTCCATACGCTATCTCTCCATCCTAAGTAATAACAATGATGCTTAATCTTTCATCTGCTCTTCATACTATGTTAAACTTTCAATCGTAACCTTCAAGTTACAAACTAAATCCTTATTGTGAGCTCCTTCTTCTTCTTAGGATAAATACATTCCTTTATGTATTGTAACAGACCGATGGTTCGTGTCCCAATGACCTCTCATCGTAGTCAGACTCAATTTGAAATGACCACTAGGGTCGGAATAACAACCATCTTACTAGTCATTACCGAAACAATGGTAACGACATACTTGAATATAAACGAACTCAATTACAAGCTTCTTGGTAACCTTGAAACTTTCCCTGATCCAAAAGCGAGTCATGTGCTTCCGGTAGTATAGATCTCTACTACCATTCACACCTACTCATACTCGTCCCAAGTATTGTCTCACAGTTAACCAAGTCACCATACATAAATCATATAATCATTCAACACATCAAATAACAAAACCAGGGTTCATATTATTTCTTGAAACTATTACACAAAAGTTCATGTTCACCCTATACTATGCCTCTAACAGGTTATGCTTTTTGATACAGACTTTATGTATTAATATGAAGTCTTCATCTTTTAATCCTCCCATTGTTTTCTGCTTTGTTGAGGAGCATGTGGAATGCCATTGGCTATGGCGGTGCATTTTTCTTTGGGCAGTCTCTAGAAATATGCCCTTCTTCGTTACATCCGTAGCACACCTTTTTGTTATCCGCGCATATGTTGGCGAAATGCCTTGTCTTCCCACATTTGTAGCAGGTCGTCTCCTCATTACACTTCCTGAAGTGTTTCTTTTTACACTTCTCAAACCATTTAGCTTCATCTCTTCCTCCAGATTTCAAGAATTTGGTTTCTTTGTTGATCATTGAAGATCCTTCATGTTTCATTTTCTCTCCAACTTCAACTCTCTCTAGACCCTTTTATTTTATTTGGGTCTCAACATTTTTGTCTGCCCAGATGGCGGCTTTCAGAGTGGTTTCTTGCTTGACTATCAGACCAAATTCCGCTGGTAATTCATTGGCAAACTTGTTGACCTTGGAAAGTTCAGTTGGAATTAGGCTCAATATTACGCTTTTAGGTTTACAGAGTGCAAAATAGACATGACTGTACAAACCTTATCTAATTCTAGTAAAGACTCCTATTTATAGGAGAATAAAAGCGTACAAAAAATATACTAAGGACTAGACAACTAAGCTTCGAATAATGTGCCTTAGTAAAATAGATAACAGAACATACGAAGAGTACATATAAGGCTTCGACTCATTACAACCAAACTACCCTTATAGGGTTAGTTGATTAATCAATAATAGGATAATTAATAGTCAAAATGATAATTAGACATTATCAAAGATGCGTTATTTAGGGAAAAAAAGAACACGATTTGAGTAAAAATGAAAATTATGAAACTATGAGTGATACCTGCATCCTCCTTCCTCATTTTCCTCTCCATGATCACAATCTGTCGACCTTTTTTTTTGGCAAAAAGATGTTCGATGTAAGACTTCTTATAAACAACATAAAAGCTTTATTTTGTTATAAATATAGTATTTCAAGATACCTACCACCTACCAAAATAATAATAATAATAATAATAATAATAATAATAATAATAATAATAATAATAATGTTTTCATGATAGAAATTATGATTTTCGCATTTGGATACTAACCTTGCAAAATCAAATCTACGAAATTTTATTAATTTACTTATTGTTTGTAGTTCAAAAATCTTCTAGACCTTTTCAGTTCAATAACTATTTCAATGGTTAAATCTGCAAAATTAATGGTGTTAAAAGGAACTTTAACTCTGTAAATATTTTAAAAAATTAGACTTTTTATAAACTAAGTTTTTTTCCACTTCTTACAACGTTTTACAGCAATACATCAAGATTTAATATATGGAATCGATTGCCCATGGTGTTTCTTTGGTGAAATTCAACATTTTAGAAGATTACTTTGCAAAATCTATCGTATTATAACAATATCATCCAATTATCCACTTACCACTTCCAACATCATATTTTTAGCTTTAAAAGTACAATGTTATATATGAACGTATTTTTCGAACAAAAAAACTCCATTTATTGAATCTTGATATCTTCAACTTTTGGATTAAAATTAAACAATCACCCACAATAAATTATGTATTGTCTTTGATTTTATAAATGAATGCATTTTTTTAATCATGTATTAGCAACTGCTAAAATATCAAGAATACCCTTGATACTCATCATTTATTTTTACATATATACCTGATAATGATTTGGCATTCTCTTTTTTCAGCTGTAACAATCTAGCAATCTGCCCTTCTTGCCCAAATTTCCAATCCGGTAAAAAAAGGATGAAACATATAAAAAATATAAATTTGGCAATACTACTTCATTTTCAATAAATCTTGAAAAAAACAGAAAAATTAACGAAAAATTTAAACCAACTTTGCACTTCAACTGGGTATTCGGAACATGTGTTTTTGCAGTTGGGTGCTTGTTTTACATACTACAAAAAAACAATTTTCTCGCAATATAGAATTAACCTTTGATATATTCATCATTATCAAAGGTAATAAAATTGTAATAAACTCCTAAAATTGTGAATGAAATCACAGTTACCTTATTGTAATAAACTCCTAAAATTGTTAAACTTATGCATTTATTTCTGAGATATTTGCCCCAGAAGGTGTAGCAATATTCCTAAAAATGTCGATTTTCCAGAATACACAAGACAAACCTGCAAATGTTAGATAGAAGTTGTTAGAATCACATTGGCAAATTATTCTATGAAAAAAAATAAAGTGTTACACTTACAATAGCAAGATTTAGGTTATTAAGACAATCTTCTCTTCATTAAGTAGCATCCATTTCTCAAGTTTATATTGTGATCGAGACATATTATAATAAAAAAACTTATAAAGTAAAAGGAAATGCATAACAGAAGATAGACAACCGATCAAGCATTTCAGCAAACAGATAGAGGGCATTTGTGGCACTTGTTCTTAAAGTCGAGATCTTCAAGGAAGTGGCCACATAGAAATAGAAGTGGCCACAGAGAAATAAATAATTAAATGATATGGGACGGAGATCCTCGTCATTTTTAATGGTTTTCTTTGGTGAAATTTTGATATTATTTTGTATTATTATTATTATTATTGTTATTATTATTATTATTATTATTATTATTATTATTATTATTACTATTATTATTATTATTATTATTATAACATTTCAAATTAAAATCCAAAATTATATATTTCATAAAATAAAAAGAAAATAAAATGCAAATGACTCACCAAACAAACATTAAGAGCTTTGGCAACTCCTGCAATGGAAACATCTGAAGGTAATGGACCAACTCCTCCATATAAGAAAACCTGTATAAATATTTATTTTATTAACATTTCATTTCACCAATTTCAGAATATGAAAAATAAAAAATGTTAACATACATATTTACACATTTACATGTGATAAATGGCTTACCATGTAACTTGTAGACTTTTGGATTTCAACTTCTTGAGCTACAAAATCTACCAATATAGAACAAATAAACTGTCAATTCAGGGGTAATTTGGTAAATAGTGTTTCTTTACCTTATTATTTCAAAATTCTCATATGCAACTTACATAACTTGATACAACAGCAATATGGGAAACACTCGAACGAATAGAATGAAGCTTCCTACACAACAAATGTCTTAATTCATCCTCCATCTTTCCAGAACTGAGCAATGTGAAATCATAAACATTAGTCAACACATAACAAATTATAAGAATAATAATACAAATAATAATGAAGAAACTTACATAATTTCATCACCAACTACTATGATTGAGGCTGAAGGGGTGTTTTCTTGATGTGATTCCACACCTCTGACTCCATCTTTGACTTTTTTAGGTAAGTTTTTGGCTCTTCCAGCTCTTTCTAATCTTCCACCTGAAAGCATATATGTAGGCTTCAACTTCTCCTTACCAGAATCTTTAATGCACAACAATGCATTTGGAGTTATGTATTATTAACAATAGAAAACTAGCATTTAAAACAATATATGTTACCAAAATCATTTAGAATAAGAAAATAATTAAATACCATATGCTAATAAATGCAACGAAATATAAAAAACGCTTTTTAATATAATATTACCAAAAAAAATGATTTTTAACTTACACAGAGTGTTTGCATCGGCTGTAATTCCGCAAATATATTTTGCCTCAACTGTTATAATGGAAAAAAAATAAAGTAATATATATATATATATATATATATATATATATATATATATATATATATATATATATAATTGCATATGAAATCTTGTCATTAAAATATGTCTCCTCTTGTCTGCACTTTGGAATAAGTTCATTCAATGCATTTAATGCACTATGCTCAAAAAAAATATGTGTTCCTGTAAACAAATATAAATTTGGTTAAGTTGTGCATACAAACACTCCTAAAAGATCAAAAATGGTACCTTTTTCAACTTCAAATTATCATGGGTTTAGAAATAAAAGATATGTTCTAATACATGCACTTCATATGAACAATAGGGTGTTTCAATGTGCTTAGAAACAACAAAAATGAAGTGAATTGAGTTAAATTAGTATTGATTCTAAATATGAAAATGAGTGACTTTTATGAATGTTAACTAAATGATCAAGTTATTCTTATTAATCTTCAATGGATGGATAAATCAAATTTGTTTCAGACTATTGGACTCTTTAGGTGCCACACAATCAGTTTTAGATGTTCTATCAAAATAATGTCACATACAACTCCTTTAAGCTGATTGGTTGATCTTATTATTGAAATACACAAAATCAGATTACCCCTTTCAAAAGTTGGTAGTTTTAATAGCTATAATGGATACCTCTTTTATTTTCTAATAACTGGAAAACAAACTCGGGTTGCACCTCAAAAGCTGTAATTGTATCCCGCTAAGGAAGCCTGAACAAAATAAGAAAATAAATGATTAAACAAATCTAATCAACTAATGAATCAGGTAAAGTAAGGCGGAATGAATACATTAATTGGCTCAAACATTTCATCGAACGCCTTATAGGCATGTTTGTCATCCAAAACCCACTTCCCAAACCTGTAGTCAGGAAGTCGTCCCCTTTTTCATGTTCAATCACATGATTCTCCAAGTGTGATGGTTGCAAAGCTAAAAAACTGACATTTAATACGAACCGGTTTGGATTTAGCCTTGATTTTGCGGTTTTTGTTGGTCATGTTTGATAAACCGGCATAAACCCAAATACATTTGTCAAAATGATTATATAAACAACAAAAGAAGAAGAAGAAGTAACGCACGAAGAAATCATGAAGTCATAAATCTGATATAACTATTTCTTGTAGATAATAAGAGGAATCAAAGAAAAACTTACATACCCAACATTGTTGCTTCTCTGCAATCGTCCTCCTCCATTTTCGTTTGATCTCACGTGTAATCGAGGTTTGCAGTGTAATCGATGTCGGAAGGTTTCTGAATCCTGAAGAAGTATTGATGTAGGTCCTTCTCAAATCTAAAGGAGACGTAAATTCGAGAATTGTGGTGGCGGTGGGAAGCAGACAAGGTGTAGAAGATGGATTCGAGTGAAAGATAGAAGTTCGGGTGGAAGATAGATAAAAGCAGTCGGTAATGAAGAATAACAGGTGGAAGCATGAGATCGGAAAAAACGCCAACAATCCAAAAATGATTGGGTGGGAAAACGGTGAAGACAACAGGCGTCAAACACGTAGCAACAAAAATCGATCAAATGATAGAAAGTGCCCAAAAAACAAAGATGGAAAAAGAAAGCCAAAAGTAGACATGTATATATAAAGGAAGTACCATTTTTGCCAAATCCTTAGCTACTGTAGCTAAGGTAGGATAATATATATATATATATATATATATATATATATATATATATATATATATATATCTAATGATTCATTTCTTTAGTTCGTTAGAAAAATATGTAGAAAAAAAACTTCTTACCTTCCTATCAAAAAAAAATTCTTACCGAATCTATCTATCTATCTATCTATCTATATATATATATATATATATATATATATATATATATATATATATATATATATATATATATATATATATATTGTGACATCTCCTTTTTCACGGCCAGAAAAGACCGATTTGTTTATGCTTTGTTTTATAAAATCAGAGTAATCTTTTAAAGAAAACAGTTGCGGAATTTGTTCCAAAAACAAAATATGATAAAAATTATCAAAGCATTTCCTTAAAGAAATGTATTTTTCATTATATGACAAAATCTCGGGATGTCATGTTCCGATACAGACATATAAGCATAAACAGAACTTACATTTAATTACACAATTGATTTATATCTCCTTTAAATCTCTCTGTGAAATATGTCTTCGTATTAATACCTGTGATACAAAGAAAACTGAGTGGGTCAGGCTTGGGAGCCTAGTGAGCATATAGGGTTTTCAACCCACAATAAATAATTATATTTAATTTCCACCAACCAACAATAACCCGATTACCCATTCCCGTTATTCTCACCTTACGTCCCTAAGACAACTAACACAAGGGACCTAGTCTAAGAATATTTCATCGGGACGACAACACATGCTTCGGGGGTTCCTCAGCAATTTAAGTCAAATAAGGCAACCATGAGGGGGATGGAATACAGCGAATGAACACCCAAGTTCATTAACACCTACAGGTTATGAGCCTGCTAGCGTTCCACTGGACTGTCTAGAAAAGTCCGTGGTCGTCATCTAAATTCCGCTAGATGACTGGATTACAATGACATCGAGGCCTCTCATCTGTTTATCACACAACTATCTACCCATTCTCTACCCGACATATTAGTAGATAAAAATATATATATTTTTATACATAGTTTAAAACCTGTATAGCATTCTCATTCAATACATATTCCAAAACAACAGATGAGACACATACACATAACACGTATTTCATAGAGAGTAAATCGTATCTATGAGATAGAAGAAAGTGAATATACATTCACGCATATAACACAAAATATACACATAACACGTATTTCGTATAAAATACTTTATAATTATGCGTTAAAAGAAAGTAACCACACACTCACTTGATCAGAAGATGATCGGACAGCACTACGACTTGTAGAAGTAGTATTCTTCGGTAGATCTGGAAGATATTCACAAAAATCGACTTCTCGCGGGCAGAGCTTCGGCTCGGGAATAACGCTCTTCGGGATCCTCGGGGCTTCGGATCTTACTTCGGGGCTCGGGAATATTACCGAGGCTTCGGGGTACAAACGGCACGCAAAACGAGGCAAAAACTTGAGAGAAGAAAGAGTTTGAACAAGAGAAAATGGCTGATTTCGAGTTCTATTTATAGGCTGCTGGGTCTGGGATTACGTTGGGCGTACTCGGGTTACGCTGGGCGTACTTTGACGTCATTGCGTGCGTCGACTGGTGGCACTCGAGTATTGGTCAGACAAGTTGCATCCGACTGAGTACGCTGGGCGTACTCAAATTACGTTGGGCGTAATTGAGTCATCGAACTTCTAAATTGCGTAACTTTCGCATACTAGCTCCGTTTTCGACGTTCTTTATATCCACACGAATGTGAGACTACGCTCTACAACTTTCGTTTAGACTCCGTCGGCTAATTTTGACTTTATTTTTATTATTTATTTTTAGTAGGCCGGGACAGGAAAACTCCGTTATAAAATCATAACTTCTTCATCCGACGTCCGTTTTCGCCTATCTTTTTATCGTTTTACTACAATTAATGAGATCTTCAATTCTCATTTAGATCGTTTTTATCTTTTAGATTGTTTCGGCTAAAAACCACTCGGTCTCAAATCGAGCATTCGGGCTGCATACCGCTAAGTCGAAACTTCGAAAAATCATAACTTCCTCATACGAAGTCAGATTTGGGCGTTCTTTTTATGCACGCTCATGGTTTAACGTATTCTACGACTTTCATTTAGATTGCTAAGGCTAAATATCGCTCTAACGTAAATTCACTTTTTACGTCGCACTGTGTCATGCCGATTCTGTCGTGAAACTTCGACAGGTTATAACTTCTTCGTTATAACTCGGATTTTGGCGTTCTTTATATGCACGGAAACCTTGTAACATATACTATAACTTAATTAAGATTATTCCTTCAAAATAATCTTCCATCAAAAAGTCATTTTTGACGCTTAACGTCTCTAATTGATTAGCCCAGATCTACGGGCATTACATATATATATATATATATATATATATATATATATATATATATATATATATATATATATATATATATATATATATATATATATTCGGTAAGAATTTTTTTTTTTTTTTATAGTAAGGTAAGAAGTTTTTTTTTCTACATATTTTTCTAACGAACTAAAGAAATGAATCAATAGATGAATAAAAAATAACATGATTTACCAAAAAAAAAATCTCAAAAAACACACGGTGATTCATTTATACAAATATTTCGTTGTTATTCAATAAAATTGTAATAAAATTGAATTTTTTTTCATAATTTACTAAAAAATGAATCATGAATATGTTTTTTGAGGAATTTGTTCTTGTGAATCATGTTACCTTTGAATCATTTAATGATTTATTTTATATGTTCGCTAAAAAAATATGTACAAAAAAAATTTTCTTACCTTTTATCAAAATTTTACTTCTTATTTGATATTTACTATATATATATATATATATATATATATATATATATATATATATATATATATATATATATATATATAGGTTCATTTGAGACCATACTAATTTTGTAAGACCGTGAGACCAAATCTAAAAATAATTTTAAAATACAACATAAATGGAAAAATCCAAAAATTCTTTTTTTAAATATTATTTTCGGAACTTCAATTAACTATAAAAAAAATTAAAAAAAAATAAAATAAAAAATAAATAAAAAAAATCCCGTTTTTTTTTTTTGAAAAATACGTGAAATATTCTAAATAGAATATTAAACTGACATATTCTAAAAAATAATTTTAAAATGCAAAATAAATGGAAAAATCTAAAAATTCTTTTTTTAAATATTATTTTTGGAACTTGAATTAACTAAAAAAAATTAAAAAAAAAATCCTATTTTTTTGAAAAATACGTGTAATATATATTCTAAAAATAATTTTAAAATGCAAAATAAATGGAAAAATAAAAAAATTCTTTTTTTAAATATTATTTTCGAAACTTAAATTAAATAAAAAAAAAAAAAATAGATCTTACAAAATTCAACCGTCTCACGTCAACCTAACCGTATATATTATCAAATGATATATTTTTCTCTTTCTATCATTTTTGCTCAACTCAAAATCATGGCAGCCCTCTCTCTCGTTCCTTGAATTCGCCGGCGAGATTAGCTGACCGGTGACCTTCACCGGTGGTTGAAACCTCATCCCAACCTCTTCTCCAGTCGCCGAACAAACCCGTGAAACTCCCCTCCGATCGAATCGCTGCACACCCCTCCTATTCGCATTTCTTTCTTCCGATCAGTTAAGACTTGAAGAGTGGAGCAGCTCCCCCCCGAAATCACCACCGTTCACCACCCTCCACAGCCCCCTCCGGTCATTCAGCAACACAAAACACCCCCTACACGCTGCTTCTTCATCCTTCGTGTGTGGTAGTCGAATCGGACCAGAAAAGAAGAAACCACGATAAGGCTCGCCGGGGAGCAGCCTCGTCACCTCCTTTGGTCATTCATCGCATCTCCCCCTTCGCACCTTTCCTCACTGGAGTTTCTGTCGCAGCTTACCTGTTTTCCCTCGGATCTTCCTTCCTTCCTTCTCCTTTGCAGCTTACCGATTGAGCACCTGTGACACTCCCTTTGATCGGCGACTGCAGTTGCCTCCTTCCACGTGTGTTTTGATGCCGGATCTGGAAAAGGAACAGTGAAGGAAGGCCCGCCAGAAATCGACGCCACCCCTCCTCACGATCGCCAGCCACTGCCGTAGACTCCAATCTTCTGCCTCGCTCGTTTCTTTCCTTACTCGATCTGATCAGATGAAGAAGATGAAACGCGTATTCGATTTTGACCAGTCAAAGGTCAAAGCAAATCAAACTTCATTTCGTTTTATTTAATTGTGACCCGAAATTACTGATACTTACACTCTAGTCCTTCATGTGAAATAAAATATCAATCTAAGTCAAACCCGCATTTAAAATATCCAGAACAACTCCTCCACCAGAAAACCTGCCAAATTAAGTCCTAAAGCCCCAAATTAGTTTTAAATGTACATGTTTAGCCTTGTTTTGTGAATAGTTTGCAAGACCAGTCCCTAGAGATTTTTTTTTGCAAAAATCAAACCCTAGAGCTTATTTATGTTGATAAAGACCACCATATACTTAATAATTAATACATAAACTACCTTTTGATTGATTAGGAAATATACATATACTCGACGGTGCGTTTTAAGAAACGAGGAACGTCACGTTACAAATTTCACGATAAGAATTGCACCCCGAGCCTCGTTGACGCTATGCAAGTGAGTTTCTCCGGACCCTCTTTTAATGCTTTAATATTCGGGGGAAAATACATGTGTATCTATAAAGTGTTGATAATTTGCATATTTTATACACAAAATAGCAACATACTTTATTAATTGCCAAAACTCAGTAAACAACAATCTAAAATGTTATAAATCATTTATAAATTATACAAGT